TATGCTGGCAGGACGCCAGACCGACTGGTAGGCTTTCAGGATGCCAGGTAGACTAGTAGGCTTTCAGGACGCCAGACAGACTAGTAGGCTCGCAGGACGCCAGACAGACTTGTTGGCTGGCAGGTCGCCAGACAGACTAGTAGGCAGGCAGGACGCCAGACAGACTTGTTGGCTGGCAGGTCGCCAGACAGGCGCCAGACAGACTAGTAGGCTGGCAGGACGCCAGACTTGTAGGCTGTCAGGACGATAGACAGGCTAGTAGGCTGGCAGGACGCCAGACAGGCTATTAGGCTGGCAGGACGATAGACAGTCTAGTAGGCTGGCAGGACGGCAAACAGGCTAGTATGCTGGCAGGACGACAGACAGGCTAGTAGGCTGGCATACTGAATGTCAGCCAGGACGGAAATTAGGCTAACGGGATATCTTGCAGGATGGCAGGCAGATCAACAGGTAGGTTGGGAGTACGGTAAACAAGCTGGAAGAATGGCAGGCAAAACGGTAGGTAAGCTGGCAGAACGACAGACAGGCTGGCAGGAAGGCTGGTAGGATGGAAATTGTAGGGCAATTGAAATGTTTACACACAGCTGAGTCATACACCTTTAGTTGTACACAAATATAATTATAAGATAAAGTAGTACTAACCAATGTAGTCTATTAGCCGCCATATGTGGTATAATTTATATCAAGAAAGGAAAATGTTTATAGGTTATTATATAACCATAAATATGGTATAAGTAATAAAAATCCCATATGGAAATGTCAAGACACATAAGCCTGGAAACCCACTTCGGCCAATCATTAGCCAGATACCCACACCCACGTACAGACTAGCGAAGCGACTCAATGGCTTGCTGACTCCTTATGTCCCTTGCACCTTCAGCCTGAAGTCTCCAAATTAATTAGTTGACTTACTGCGGGGAACACGGACCACAGGGATAAGAGTCTCGTTGGACGTAGAATCACTGTTTACCAACGTACCTGTGGATGAAACAATCGGGATGATAGCGGACAGAGTGTATCGTGATCCGGCCTGTACTCCTCTTGACTTAGCAGAAAACTTTCTAAGGAAACTACTCCAAGCTTGTACTAAAGAGGCACCCTTCTTGAGCCCGGATGGGCACATGTATAAGCAAGTAGATGGGTTCGCCATGGGTTCTCCCCTAGGTGTCCTGTTTACGAACTTCTACATGGGTACCATCGAACAAAAGGTCTTAGTCGACATGAACTTGAAATCGGCCATATACTGCAGGTATGTTGACGACATTTTTACACAGGTACCTGATGTCAGACATCTGCAGGAGCTGAAGGAGGCATTTGAGCGGAATTCTGTGTTGCGTTTCACTTACGAGATGGAGAAGGATGTGAAGCTGCCCTTTCTAGATGTAACAGTCATGGAAAGGATCGGAGGTTTCCACACTGCAGTCTACACTAAGGAAACAAACATAGGAATGTGCCTCAATGCCAACAGTGACTGCCCAGACAGGTACAAGAGGAGTGTCGTTAACGCTCTGGAAGCAAGTCGATGAAGAACTCTGTAAGGTAAGGCAGGTCCTAGTCAACAACGGCTTCTCCAATGGTTTCGTTGATGACATCATAAGACGGAAGGTGAAACGCCATGCAACCTCTGAAGAGACAACTAACACAACACCTATACCCCCTATTAGACTATTTTACAGGAACTTATTTTCCACAGCTCATAAAACGGAGGAAAGGGTCCTGAAAGATATTGTTAATAGAAACGTTATCCCTACAGACAAAAATCAGAAGATACAATTGACGATCTACTATAAAACCAAGAAAACGGCCATCCTACTCATGAGAAACTCTCCAGACACAAAGCAGAACGCTTTAAAAGAGACCAATGTCGCCCATGCATTCATATGCCCACTTGGGGACTGTAAGCCTCAAAGAATTCAGTATATAGGCAAGACAGCAACATCTCTTTCCAGGCGATTAACGATGCATAAGCAACAGGGCGCCATTAAGGAACATATAAGCTCTTCCCACAACCAGACCATCACCAGAGAAGTCTTAACAAAAAAACACGGGAATCATCGATAGATACAGTGATAGCAGGCAGCTAGATATCTACGAGGCACTACACATTAAGAAGTCAACACCAGCAATCAACAGCCAATTAATGTACAACTATATTCTACCCACTTCAAGACTCCGCACCAATATAGAAGCATGAAGAAATATGGGCCAATAGGCCTTTTGCAGTTACTTCCATTCTTCCCTTTAACTTACAAAATATTTTACCCATTGTTTCGTGTTCTGTCTTGTGTTGAAAGTTTGTTTTCACCTCACCCAAAACTGTTGTAACATATCACCTCACCCAAATGCATGTACAAAGTCGAAGATGTTTAAGCTCTGTTCAGTTATAGTTGTGTCTGTGTAAACTAAAGTCTTTGAAAATTTAATAAGTTTTACGAAACGCGCTCAAGTGTCGCGTCAGACTAGAAATAAAAATGAATTTTGGAGAATTGATTTTTCAGTTACCATCAACAGTGAAGAAAAATATAAGAAACATTGAGAAATTCGTGTTAGAATTATTAATCTTACTTTTTCGGTCATATTTAATAATATATGTCTACAGGAAAGACTGCTACCAAAATATACTAATATATACATACTATATAGATGTCACGTCTGTGACAGGAAAAAAACATGCTTATTTTGAAAAACTGTTTTTCATGTGATGGGAAATCTTCGAAACCTCTTTACCGATTGCTTTGAAATTTTTACACAATGTTGCATTCCAATATTCGTGTGTTTTTATATGCCTTCTATATACATGCCTCACCTGTGACAGGAAAAAACATAAAAAAAACAGCGCCATCTGTTGGACATAAGTGCAACAGATCTCTGAAATTTCTTTACCAATTGTTTGAAATTTTTTAACAACGTTCCTTCCGAATATGCGCATGTTTTTGTATACCTACTATATAGACGCCTTACCTGAGAGAGGTAAAAACATGTTTTTTTTTTTAAAACAGCTTCATCTGTAGCACATAATAGCAACACACGCTATACTATAAATGTTACCATTCCATTTCAATGTTCTTCATTGCAATGACAAATTAAATTTTCATAGATTTTGATTTGTTTTCATCTTGATCTAATTATTTTGTGTGACATTGCATTGGAATTGAGCTGTGTTGTTTACCATGCAATTCATTTTGTCAGTATAAGTATAGATACCTCACCAGTGATAGGAAAAAACATACTTTTTTTGAAAAACAGCACCATCTGTTGCACGCTATAATAAATATGTTATTTCAATATGTAAAAACAGCTTCATCTGTAGCACGTAATAGCAACACACGCTATACTAAATATGTTACCATTCCATTTCAATGTTTCCGATTTCATTGATAAATTGAATTTTCATAGATTTTGATTTATTTTCATTTTTATTGAATTATTTTGTGTGACATGGCATTGGAATTGAGCTGTGTTTTTACCATTCAACTCATTTTGTGAGTATAGTTTATTTTTGTACTTTTCATTATTTTCATTTCGTTTTTTAACTGTTTTTCTTAAATTTCAGTGTTGGGAACATCAGATCATTTGATGTTCCGAATTTTCTGATGGGAACATCAGATCATTTTAGAATGCATCGGACGAGGAAGTGGGGACTGGAGGGGAGAACGAGGGGACGGGAGTAGGGGATAGTGGGGACGAGGGGACAGGGGGAATGGAGAATAGTGGGGAGGAAAATTCGACAGGGGAGTGGAGGATGATGGGAAGACGTGGGGACGGGGGACCGGGGAATGGTGGGGAGGATGAGGGAACAGAGGGGAGGGGGGATTGGTGCGGTGGACTGGGAGACTGGGGAAAGGTTGCTGTGTCTCAGCCACACATTTGTTACTAAGCGACAACAACAGCCACAAGAACGTGTGGCCGGGTACAGCTAATGAATAATATGAATAAGAATATTCATAAAGTATAAGAATCCTAATGATAATTAACTTTAGATAGCTTAGTTATGATCATATAATTAGTATGAAATTATGAACACAAAAAAAGAACTCAATTAATATATGACTAATATAAATGAAATTGCAATTAAATTTAAATATAACAAGGTAAGGTTATACATATGAGTAAGATTTTACTAAGATACTGAGATAGATGCTTACATAAGTACGTGGGGATTTTTCTGATTAGCTAGGAACTTTTATTGATGAGAGAGCATTATTTAACCAGTAGACGGGGAACATCTCCCGTCATGCAGGGTGCAGTCGCACCTCCATAGATCTGCAGTATCAGTTCTTGATACTCGTAATGGCTCAAAAGGGCCACCACTTTCGGGCTATTCATGCCCGTACCACCTTTTGGGTGGCTTAATCTTCATCAATCAATCAACCAGTAGAGTTACTGGCTATTCATGCCCGTTCCATCTCTTGGGTGGCTTAATCTTTATCAGTCAACCAGTAGAGCCAAATACAGCACCTTGGACAGGGTTTGGCCAGGTTAAGTTAGGCCCAGTCACTCATGAGTTATTTTCAGTTATGGCATTGGATGGATTCGAACTTTGAGATATACCACATTCATTAAAGAAGGCCAATAGTTGTTTGTCACACTTTATTTCATATCTTTTTCCTGTTCTTTCCTTCTTTACGATGATCGTTCCATTCCTAGTGTAGCACTGCTTGATAACACCTGGATTTTGTTTGCGAATTTGAAGCAGTCTGAAAAGGGGGGTTCCACGCTGCTTGGTAAGGAACTCGTTTATATAAAGGTTCGTTTTTGCTAAGCAGCTGTTTGCATGAGGTAAAACTTAGCAGCGGAATTTGCAAGTTTGATGAGCATTCTCCTAGTGCTACGGGAACTGTTTTTATCTATCCTGACAGCTGATTTGATATCAACGTTGACTTTTATCTTTGAATTAATTAGAGCGTGGGCTACATTACAGCAGTTCTCACCATGCTGTTCATCGGGTATAATCAGCAGTTCTCACTATGCTGTTCATCGGGTAGATCAGCAGTTCTCACCTTGCTGTTCATAGGGTAGATCAGCAGTTCTCACCATGCTGTTCATCGGGTAGATCAGCAGAGCTAATTATCAGGGAGTCGTGAAGTTGTTCCTGCTCCAGGTCATCGTTGGAAGCTGCCTGGTGCATCTGAAGAAGATTTATTTGTTTCCAGCTTATGAAGGATGTCGCTTTGTCCTGGTTGGGTTTCCTCGGCCTTAATCTTGTGTATTGGATCCATTGTGTTATCTGTTACAGCTTGTAAGCTGAGAATTGCTTGATTATTGTTCGTCGAAGATTCGAGGAGGCGGTCTATAGTTTGTTGTTGTTGGGAGATTGTGGCATGGAGAGCCGCAATTGCTTCAGATTGCAGGAGCACTAGGTTGTGTAGTTTCTGGAGCCATGGATTGCTCCGCAATGGTTTTAAGTTTATACAGGGAGGCATATATAGAGTGACTTCTACAGCCTGAGTTGTGAGTTGAGTCGAAGGCGGCAGCTGACAGAGAGGGAGGGAAGCGGGTGCTGTGTTTACCAACATCGGCGACAATTCCAGTGATGCCAGTGTTTCACTTAGGACTCTTGATGTTATGGATAATGAGCGAGAGGTACTCCTACCTTGCTTGTTGATGTTTAGGCATGTTTATGGTGGTAGATTCTTGGTAACGTTTACAGAGGTAGATATTTGGAGATTGGCAGTGGGGTTAGGCGTATGGTGTACGTTTGGCAGAAGGGTCGTCGATAGGCAGGGACAATGAAAATTAGTAAATTATGGTTGATTACTGTCAATCGACTTAATAATGGTCGATTGATCATAATCGACTTGATACTGGTCGATTGATTATAATCGACTTGATAATGGTCGATTGACCATAATCGATTTGACAATGGTTCAAGACGGACGAAACGTCGTCGTCTCTTCACTTTCTAGTGTGTGTGTGGTTTGGTCAACATTCCACACATAGGCCTTCTTTGACTGGATTTAATTTAGATATGTCTATAATATTTAGATCATGTATCCATCCAAATTTTCTACATCCATTATTCCGAGTAAGTTTAGTCGTGGGTTGATCACAATGCTTTCCACTAAATAGTCCACGAGTTGAACACTCACACTAAATTGGTAATCTTGCTATATTAATTTACCTAATGTGGTTGGACATACTGGAACTGTAGGTATTATTATGGGAGTAGTACGATATATTTTTGACCAATATCTGTCCTGCCAGGAGGCACCGGCTGGTAATATTCCATTACTTTCATTGGAGTATAATTGAGAAGGTAAATATATTCAACAGTGATTTAGTTTCATACCTTCCCACACTTTGCAGGCTTTATGATGATTGTCATATTGTTGGAGTCCAAATGGTGATAAAATTAATACGGGATTATTAAATAACTCGTCATCGCTTTCAGCCTGGTCAATGTACCATTCAAATGACGATATATTTTTTTGTCATGTTATACCATAGTGAAGTAACTTTCTTTTTCTTCGTAATGTCTCGCCTTCAATAATTACAAAGCATATTAATAAGTAATTAGCAAAAGAAAATAAATTATGGCTATAATTTTTCGTGGTTATTCATAAGGTGGGTTCAGAAATATATAGCGAACGTCTCAATCTCTAAGATAAAATATTATACAGATTTATTTAAGTGAATAAATATATACATATACTATACTTTCTTTAAAAAAGTAAAAAACAAATAATATATGAGTTAATTATATATTCACATGATATATCAATTTATCTCACACTAGTGTGTCCTCACTTGAACGAACAGTATGGGACGAGGCCAATCAGTTTCACAGCGGAATTCGTGACCTCAGGCCAGACCTTAGGCCAGACCTCAGGCAAGACCTCAGGCCAGGCCTCAGGCAAGACCTCAGGCCTCAGGTCAGAACTCAGGTCAGACCTCAGGCCAGACCTCAGGCCAGACCTCAGGCAAGACCTCAGGCAAGACCTCAGGCCTCAGGTCAGAACTCAGGTCAGACCTCAGGCCAGACATCAGGCCAGGCCTCAGGCAAGACCTCAGAACTCAGGTCAGACCTCAGGCAAGACCTCAGGCCAGGCCTCAGGCAAGACCTCAGGCCTCAGGTCAGACCTCAGGCCAGACCTCAGGCCAGACCTCAGGCCAGAACTCAGGTCAGACCTCAGGCAAGACCTCAGGCAAGACCTCAGGCCTCAGGCCAGGCCTCAGGCCAGACCTCAGGCCAGACCTCAGGCCAGACCTCAGGCCACGCCTCAGGTCAGACCTCAGGCAAGACCTCAGGCCAGACCTCAGACTAGACCTCAGTCCAGGCCTCAGGCCAGGCCTCAGGCCAGACCTCAGGCCAGACCTCAGGTCAGATCTCAGGCCAGACCTCAGGCCAGAACTCAGGTCAGACCTCAGGCCAGGCCTCAGGCAAGACCTCAGGCCTCAGGTCAGACATCAGGCCAGACCTCAGGCCAGACCTCCGGCCAGACCTCAGGCCAGGCCTCAGGTCAGACCTCAGGCAAGACCTCAGGCTAGACCTCAGGCCAGGCCTCAGGCCAGACCTCAGGCCAGACCTCAGGTCAGACCTCAGGCCAGACCTCAGGCCAGACCTCAGGCCAGACCTCAGGCCAGGCTTCAGGCCAGACCTCAGGTCAGACCTCAGGCCAGACCTCAGGTCAGACCTCAGGCCAGACCTCAGTTCAGACCTCAGGCCAGGTCTCAGGACAGACCTCAGATCAGACACAGGCCAGGTCTCAGGACAGACCTCAGATCAGACACAGGCCAGGTCTCAGGACAGACCTCAGGCCAAATGTTGACTGTAGAGGCTAGCTGCCTCCTTGACACCCCTAATACATCCCCTCACCACGGACCCCTCCATTTATTATGAATTCTTTATTATGACCAAGGAATATGATAGAGCGATGTGTTACAAGACACTGAAATGGTTCAATTTTCTTTTCTTATTTTGGGAAAAGCATCAAGTGTGTTTAGTATCGAGGCAGGCAGGTGATGCAGCAGTCAGCAGAGGGCAGATCTGGATGATGGGTCTCCACTCACCCTCCTTCCCTGACGCCTTTCCACCACCCCCTTCCCCCAATACATCCCCCTAACTACTGACACCACCATTTACTATGAATTCTTCATTTTGACTATAGAATATGATAGAGCGATGTGTTACAAACAACTGAAATGGTACAATTTTCTCGCTAATTAGCTGATAACCAGAGCTCCCTACTGACACCACCTGCCTCCCCTGACAACACCTCCCACCACTGACACCACCTGCCTCCCTTGACAACAACAACTATTAATTGAATAACACTCATTTACCAGATAGTTCCTGGAAGCTACTTGAACTGGATAGCTGTTACGAGATGGAAAGGATTATTGTAAATATTGAAGAGAATAACTATTTATGAGAATATTGAGGATGATACTGGTGGTGGTGGTAGCGATGGTAGAGGGGTCAGGAATAGTGGAAAAGGGAATATACACCATCTGATCGAAGGGAAGTTACCAGATCTAAGCTAAAACAAAGAGGTCGACCTTGGGTCAAGCTAACGTCTCCTCACAGAGCCAATGGAATGATACGTCATCGTCGATGGTCCCTTCTCTGGACAATCCGTCTGCCTGCCAGAACCTCCTGCAGGTGAACGACCAGGAGAACCAAACCCCAAGCAGATATGGGCTGATGCTACTCAGCGATACTTAGACAAGCTTTTTTTGACTATATCAACTTTGAAGGGAGGAAAAATAATAGAATCAGAAGCCAATATAAAAATAGAAATATGGAAAAGAGTTAATCAGAAGCAAATTCCTTCAATATTATTATTCACAACATACCAGAATAAAAATCAACTGTTCGTCTCCAAAAAGGTATAAACTATTTTGTGTTAAATATTTTATATAAATATATATTTTATATATATATATATATATATATATATATATATATATATATATATATATATATATATATATATATTGTGACGGTAACGCGTTGGTGTTCGGCTGTTTAAGGCTAGGGGTATGGGCTCGTCACATAGTTATAAAAAAAAAGAAAAAACTGGAACTTCGTCTGTGGTAAGGTAAGGAGAAGACACACAAAACACAAGTAAATTTTAACAATGAAATTTTAATTACGTTAAATAAATCAAAACATGAATAAAATGCACAAACAAATTCTTATAATAAAATCAATCAATCAAAATAATAAGAATACTTAAATGACACAATGAAAAGTTACGTTAAGGCAAAATAACAAGAAGTGCAATACAAAAGTAAATGGGAGGTGCTGGAATATTGGCTTTAAGCCACCACTTCTCTCAGTACACGCTAACGTCTAGCCGGGAGGAGTGGTGACAACGAGAGCACTGAACATTCTGAGGTCTGAGGTCGTGGCGACCCCAGACATCGAGTAGTATGGGGGGGGCGAGTGCAGGTGCAGCCAGACCGGCGACCAATCAGCGGAGCCGGTAGCGATCAACATGTAGTTTGGTGGTTTGAGTCCGAACAGGTGGCTGGCTGCATACGTTTTGCTCACCCTGGCAAGCCTTGCTGGTGTTGTTGTCGTTGTTGGACATGTCTTCCATAGTCGTTTTATATAATTTCGACGACGTAATTATGGAGGGAAGAGCAGGCTCAATCTCTTGAAGGAGATTATCGTCACAATATATATATATATATATATATATATATATATATATATATATATATATATATATATATATATATTAAATATGACCGAAAAAGTAAGATTAATAATTCTAACACGAATTTTCTCAATCTTTCGTACATTACGCTTCACTGTTGGAGGTAAATCAAAAATCAATTCTCCAAAATTCATTTTTATTTCTAGTTTGACGCGACACGGGCGCGTTTCGTAAAACTTATTACATTTTCAAAGACTTTAGTTCACAAATACACAACTGAATAGAACTTACGTATCTCCAATTTTATATCTACATTTGAGTGAGGTGGAAGGGGTGATGTGGCATTAACACAAGACAGAACAAAATGTGGTATTAATAGGGTATTAATTTCATCAACGTAAGACAGAACAAGGGTATTAATAGGGTATTAAT